TGCTTATATATTTAGGATAAGAAAAGTTTCATAGTAGCTTCACCAATAAGTGATAGGATAAGAAAAGTAACTTGAGAAAATTATTTCCCTACACAAGCAAACTTGAGCTTCAAAAGGCTCTTGTAGATAGACACACATTTTTCAGGAAAAGGATAGACAGATAATTAGACTTGACAGAGTTAGAATAGAAACACCAAAAATTACACAACAATAGAATAATTTTACACTGGATTCCCCCTGGAACAAAAATTAATACCTTTTAGACAGAATTGAGAAGGAGATTAACCCAACAACAGACAATGACCAAAAAAAAATCAGAAATGACAATTTTGAACTCACCAATCAGGAATGACAATTTTGGAAACCATGAAATGGTATTCCAGTGAAACAATGTACAAAAGAAATGGTTTGCAATTGTTTAAAAGAAACAGACCAAATAAAAGGAGGCAGATTTTCTCTATATATAAGAAATAACTACATATCTACAGAAATGGGACACAACAATGATGAAAACTGTCTTGAATGCGTTTGGATCAATATAAAAGGGAAATAGATGAACTTTCTGCTAGTCAGCTAACTAAGGTGCATAGGAAGCACATGACAATAGAACACAGTCAAACTAGAGTCCTGGACTTTAAGAGAGCTAATTTCAATAAACTTGAAAGGGCTTGGGAGGGATTCCATGGATGAGAATCTTCAAGGGGAAAACAAGAAGCTTGGGCAATTTTAAAAAAATAACCCAGTCTAGCACAATACCAACAAAGAAGAAAAATAATAGCTCTCACAAGAAACAGCATGGCTGCATAAAAACTCTCTGATAAATTGAAAGATAAGAGGGTTAGCAGAATATTAGCAAATAGTCTGAGCCTGCAAAGATGAGGTGAAGAAAGCTAAGGCTCAAAATGAACTAAGGCTTGTGAACACAGTCAAAAATAATAAAAAAACAAACAGTCCAACTTATCAAAAACAGTACCATAAAAAAGATTAGAAACACAAGTTAAGATAGGCAAGAAAATGGTAAGTGAGCACTTATCCAGCCTAGAAGAGTTCAAATCACCAGGACCAGATGGATTACACCCAAAGTTCTCAAGGAACTGGTAGATGTGATCTCAGAACCACT